CAAAAGCAGGTCGAGTTCGCGCTCCAGTTCCAGTGCGAGCATGGAGCTGTTCAGCAAGAATTCCTTCAGAGGCGCTTCCCAGAGACTCGCTACTTGTTCTCGGAGATGCACGAGTTCCCTGCTCAGAAATATGATCCCCGGGTCTGCAATGGGCCGCGGTCGCGCGACGGCCCTGATCAGGACTGCGGGCTGTTGGGGGCGGCGATGAGGGCGATGCGGGGTCGGCGAGGACGTGCGAGACGACGCGTGGAGTAGGGGAGATGGGTGGGGAGGGGGTGGGGCGAGCGGCGGCGGAGGAGAAGCGGCGGGCGCCACCCTGCCCCCCTGACTGCTGAGGTTATCGCAGGCCCGCGCCAGGGACATCAAGAGCGGCGCCCTCGTGATCGTGCCGCGCGTGGAGATTTTCTCTGCAGGGTTCGCGTGCATTACCAAGTCCCGCCTTAACAGCGCGACTCGGGGTCAGCAGCTATCCCCTTGCCAAACGGGAGAAGGGGCCACCGGGGAGGCTTGGGGCCTGACGAAGCGCTACATCACGAAAGCGCGGCCGACGTTGCTCATCTTGGAGAACCTCGCGGAGCTTATGCACTGCTCGGAGCCAGGCGTGTTGGCGGACTCGGATGCCATCATCGCATATCTGGCGACGCTCGGCTACTCCGCCCGGGCCGCCGCCCCAGCGCGGTTGGAGAATAGGGCTGGGCGAGGGGGGAGGGCGATGAGATGCGGTGGCGACGCGGAGGATGCGGGGTGCGGGGCGGGCGCGGAGGCGGATGAGGAACGATGAGTAGTAGGGGCAACGAGTCGGATGAGGAGGCTGCGGAGTAGGAGGTGGTCGGACAAGGAGGAGGAGCACTCGCGACACGGCCACGCCGAGAGGACCCTGGAGCCAGAGAGGGGCCGGGAGCGAGGAGAGGCGAAGTGAAGGCGAGGCGGAGCGAGCGCACGGAGGGTAGCCACCATCACCAAGGCACTCGAGGTCAACGCCACCGATTTCGGTACACCTTTGACGCGCAGACGGATGGCGCTGGTTGTTTTCCTCGGAGACAAGACAGGCCGCGCAATGGAGATGTACCTGTCCGTCCTCCCGTTCCTCAAGATACCCCTGCTTCCCTTGGATGCGTTCTTCGATTGGCGCGCCTTGCCGATGAACGACGACACCGTGAGGGCGAACAAGCTCAAGGGCGCGAGCGGTATCCACATGCAGTACTACCACGCCGTGGGCCTGGAGTACCCTCCAGACTTGGCCAGTTGCGACCCGGAGTTGCAGCTGGTGTTGGCACCGTTGAGCAACGCGCTGGTCGAGGTCGCTCGTGGGCGTCGGTAGGGGCATGTCGTGTATTGCATGGATAAGGCGAGGGGGGCAGCGTGCTCAGGAGGAGCGGGGGCGGCGGAAGGGACGAGGAGAGGGGGTGGCGGCGGGGTCGGATTGTTGCCGCCAAGGGGGGCATCAGGGCCAATGGAGCATGGGGGGGGGGGGGGGGCGGGGGTCATGTTTGGGAGCTGCTCATAGGTCGCAATCTACGGGGAAGAGCGCGACCCGTGCCCGAAGGCTCCGGGCATCATTCAGTGGGCGGACATCAACCTGTCCCTGTCCTTCTTGGTGGGGAACGACGGGAAGGGCACCGTGTTCAAAGAGACGATGCCTACGTTGACGTGAAAGAGCGTCCTGATGCTGCGCGTGCGGGGAGAGCGCGCCGACCGCCACTGGAGGCATCGCGTTCCTGTCATATCCTCATCCCCGTCCTCATCCTACCCACCCCCGTCCTCGTCCTCATCCTCATCCCCACGCTTGTTCCGTTCATCCTCCTCCTCATCCGATCCACCCTCCTCTCTGCCCCCCTTCTCGCCGCCCCCGCCCTCTCCGGGCCGGTGAGCGGGGAGGCGCTGCTGAGGCTGATCGGGTGTTTCGGTGCGCACCCAGACACGCCGGACGAGGTGGCCAGGGTCCTGGTCGGGAACGCGTGCAGCGGGTTCGCGTTCGCCGCCGTGTCGCTGGCTGGCTTTGCTGGTCTGGGGCGCCGTTCGTAGGCCCCGTTGGCGTCGCTCGCGCGCGACCCGCCGTCTGGCCGGCACTGCCGGGGCTCTCTGGGGACGGCGGGGGCAGAGGCCGTAGATGGGGATGGCGACGGGAGGGAGGTGGCGGGGAGGATTAGCGAGGCGGAGGAGGGCGGCGAAGCGACGCGGGGCACGGGGGGCAGTGGACGGACGAGGCTGGTGATGAGGAGGATGGCCAGGGCCATGGCCAGTGCAGCGCTGCCGTTCGCAATGCATGGAGTAGCCTGAGCGGCGCCAATGTACATTGGGGCGGCCGCTCAATGAATAGCTGCCCTCGCGGACAGCCGCCGCGCGCCCCACAGATGCAATTGCAGTTTGCGTCGCGCGCGGGTGTTGCATGGGGCGCGCGGCCCCTGTAGGTTGGGCCCGTGGGACCTCTAGCACGCAGCATGCGTCTCGTGGGTGGCCGTCAAACCATAAAGCATGCTTTTCGTGGGTGGCCGTGAACAGCAGACTGACCTCTTGTCGTTGCCTTGGGCCATGTCTTTGAGAGTTCGAACGGGGGGGGAGTCAGCTCGGATCCCTCTCCGACGTAACTTCGTCAGTATGTGCCCCGTGGCCCTGCGCCTCATACCAGAGCTCGAACGCACTGAAAGGGTGTAAATGGTGGCACCCCACGCTCGAAGGCACCCGAGCACCTGCGGCCCAAGAGCCGCACCGCACGGCTGCCGCGCAGGGTCACATCCCCACACTTGCGGTGCCCAGCCCCTCCCCGCACCGGCGCCGGTGGCGATGGAGCCGAGCCAGCCGTCGAGTTCGTCGGGCGCTGCTGACGGCCAGGTCGAGCTGCTCTACGGCCGCGGCGTCCCCGAGAAGACTGTCTACGGCAACTGGGGCGAGATGAACAGCGAGGCGAAGATCGCGATCGTTACGTGCGACGGCGGTCAGAAGCTCGAGGTCGTTTATTGCGCGTCATGCTGTTGCTGTTGCTGTTGCTCTTGCCTCTCCCCGGACCGCATCAATCAAACCCCGCTGACGCATTGTCCGCCCCGCCCGCAGGTGGCCCCCGATGGGCGCAAGTGCGGGCTCTGCGGGAGGCGCGACACGGAGGTCGACCACGTGCACCCTGGCGAGCGCTTGGCATGGCAATACAACCCGACGGCTGGCAAGAACAACCGAGGCAATTACTGCCCGTATTGCCGCCGCGTGCAGACAGGCTGCCCCGGCGGGGTGGGTGGGCGGTGGCACCTTTCATCTTCCCCACCCCCATCCCTGCTGTCGCCGGCGTCGCCCCCCCCCCCCTCCACCTTTGATCGCGGCGTCCTCCTATCTGTTGGCGGCCCCCCTCCTCGTCGCCAACCCCCCCCCCCCCCGCGCCGTATCGCCCCGCCCCAACTCGCTGGGGCGCTTGCCGCATCGGGCGCGGTAAAGGTGTTGGGGTTTTGTTTATTTCAGGGGTTGCGGGGCTGGGGCGCGAGATAGGACAGGTGAGGCGACGACGGCAGGACGACGAATCACGATGACGCGACGTGCATGCCCCCCCTGAGGTTGGTATGCAGACCAAGCTGATACTTCCACATGCGCAAAGCTGGTCATCAAGATTGGCGGCTCCAAGGATATATGCATTGAATTCTTCGGCCTGCGGGATGAGGCGGTCAAGACGTTCATACCCGTCGGCTCCTGCAGGGGCGTTCGTGTCGCCTGGTCCGACATCCACGAGCACGTGACGTCGTGCAAGAAGACAGAGGTGCACCTTACCGAGGCGCCGAACCGCATTGCGCCGCTTACTGCATACATCGCTGAGTTCGGCGACCCTGCGACCAACGGGAAGGGCCATCAAAAGGTGTGGATGGGGGGCGAGGAGTGCGTGAGGATCCCAGGCAAAAGGGAATGGGCCGAAGAGAAAAAAAACAACCGAAGGAGTGGAGCACACCCGTCGGCATCATGACAGTTCGACCGCGGTATTCTCCGGGCAGCTCAACCGCTCCTTCGAGGGCTTGGCGAAGTCTTTGGCGACAGCGTTCTCGCGTCCTACAGGTGAGGCAATGCCGAGCATGTTCGCCAAGGCGGCTGCCCCCGCTTTAGCTCCAGGGCCGGGCGCGCCACTGCCGCCGCCGCCACCGCCATCGCACAGTACGGCCCCATCTGATGAGGTGCCCAGCCTGTTTGGCGGCCTCGCGCCCGCGCCCGTCGCTCAGCACCGCGGCGAGCCCAGCCAGACCAAGGCGAAGGCCAGGCCGAAGGCGACGTCGAAGGCGGGGGTGTCCCGTCGCCTCAGGGAGCAATCGCCCAGCGCCGCATCTGGCGACGACGAGAGCGCCACCAAGCGCGCCAGGGGGCGCCCTCGGAAGAATCGCCGCCAGGAGTTGACCGACGCGCTCGGGGACTTCAAGCAGTGCACCTCCGACGAGAAGTACTTCGACAAGAAGAACCCAAACTTCCGCCGGCACCTGGGCACCAAGCTGCAGGACTTTACGAACACGATCCACCCACCTGACACGGTCGATGAGATCCTCGAGCAGGACAAATTGGCGGGTAAGCCTGTCCCTGAGGTCTACGCCGATTCGGACGAGGCGCAGGCACTCAGGAAGATGGGACAGGAGGCCGCGAATATAGCGAAGGCATGGATCAGGAACACGCAAGTCGACAAGGCCTTTACAGCGTCGTACGTGAGCTCCCTCACGTTTCTGCGCACGCCCCCTGTCGCAGACCTGCCGTTCCCAGGGTGGATGATGCAGGAGTACCTGGACAAGCAGGTGGAGGCCGTTGGGTACACTCACGACGACGGTGACGAGGAGAGGGGGTTCAGGGCAGGGTAGTTGTTTTCTTCGAAACGAGTGTCGGGCCAGTGAGGGGTAGAGCTTTAATAATATTGAATCTGTTAGTGTTGTTGTGCTGTGTGTGATTGAGTGCTTGCCGTTTCGATGGGTTCGGGTCCGTGCTGGGCGATCGAACACTTTCGGGATCGACGTTGCACTGCTGGTCGTCCCTTTCCGCTGCTCCGCCAGGCTGCTTTACCCGACGGCAACACCTGGGCCTTGCTGGAGCCGTCGAAGCTCGCGGAGGCGGGGTACACGTCGGAGCAGACGCAGGCGGTGACGGTCAACGACATGATCAAGATGAAGATCAGCATCGTGGTGCAGGGCAAACCCGATCACGCATGCGAGGACTTGATGCGCCTGTCCTCAGCGGTGCCCGACTGGGCTTCGGACGAGTGCAAGGCCGACATGAATGCTCTCAACGTGTGCTTGTCCATGCTGAAGCCTGATGCAGCGCCGCTGGGTCCAGAGCAGGAGGAAGCCACCGCTGCTTTCCAGTCCATCAAGAGCGGGCGCATGATGCTGAGCGAGTACGCGAAGGAATGGCCACGGGGCAGGGATCTCCTGGACACGGCCGAGACGCTCCTGCAGTCCTTGATCGAGGGGCATAAGTGCGAGGCGTGCGGTTAAGATGCTGACGGACGCGCGCGCCCACTATGAGCAGGACAAAGCTGGCTGCCTCTACGACCGTGCCGTGAGCATCGCCGGGCACCTGACCGCCATCTCGGGCTTGCTTGCAGACGCCACCGAGATCGACTTGAGGTACTTGCCATCCGCGATCGAGAGGCTCATGGATGACTACCTGGCCTGGACGGGCGATATGATTTTGGACCTGTGCGAGGACAGCCTTATCGCCGCCGCCCTTCAGTCATTCGCCAGCCTCTCCAGCCCCCTCCGCTGCCTCCTCTACCGTCGCCCCTCCGCCCCTTCCGCCATCCCCTCCCTCCTAGCCCCGCCTTCCTCCCCGAGCGCCTGTCTAGGATATGGCGGTGACTGCATCTACGTGGCTGGATCACCCGCCCGACGCCGCGGGCTGGTTGGGCGCGGCCTGGAACGATAAGCTCTCCGCGGTCAACGGCCTGGTCAGCAAATTGGAGACGATGCCGAAGGTGACCGACCGCATGAAGCAGGACCTGGATGCCGATGCGTACTTGCTGACGGCCAAGATGGCGCACGGCGCCGCGAGCTGCATCAAGGACTTCAGCGATCTTGAGAATCGCGAGGCCGTTGCACAGGTGCCAGCTGTCATGACCAAGCTTGCGAGGGACTTGCAGGGCCATAAAGCGTTCCACGACGAGCATGCCGTCCAGGCAGCTCTGGAGGCGATAGTCGGCAATATCATGGCCCGCAGCGAGTTCGCGGATATCAAGGCGAGGGCTCAGTTGCTGCTAGCTGATCGCCCCAAGCAGTTCTGCGATATCAGTAAGGTGACCATGTTTGGCTGCTTTCCCTCGGATCATTTCTTCGACGTCGAGTGGGCCGGGGACATCGTCAAAAAGGACGACCGCCCGGAGGCAAATGACCTCCTGGTTGGCCAGGGCTATTCTGTGGAGTTCACTGAGGACGCGAGGATGGCCTTCGCTGAGGCAGCGGCGGCGGCTCGCTTCACAGAGGACAAGCTCATGACCCAGGTCGGTGCCATCACCAACATCGCTCGCGTGTGGCGGTGCGCCGTCCCGTTTCTCACGCAGAGCTGCGACCTCACCGAGGAGGCCCTCGGGCTGTGGCTCCAGGGTCGCGACGCAGTGGCCAGCCTGGTCGGCACGGCCAACCATATGCTGAGGCAGGTCGAGGACTTCACGGGGATGACATTCGACTGGGACACCGCGTCGGACCAAGGGAACTGAGAGGGCAAGGATACTGATGGTGAGGGGCGGGAGGGTGAGGAGGTGGCGGTGGATGGGGGAGGAGGTCGAGGGGGGGAGGGAGGGCGAGGCGGGGGGGGGGGAAGGGGAGGAGGAGGAGGAGGACAGGACAGGGATGAAGGAGGAGGAGGGGGAGGGAGCGGGGGAGGGGGGGGGGGTAAGCCCCCCGCTCCTCTCAGTCACCTTAGGGGCGAGGTTGGGGTGGGGCGCGTGTGGGGCCGAGGTAGCTTGTGGGGTACCCACAGGACCCGCGCTCGGACGGCTACCTCGGGAACTTGGAGAAGTACTTCGAGCTGACGCCGGCCGACCACGTCGAGCTGCTGGACGAGCTGCCGCTCGGCAAGGCAGTGTCGCAGACGTTGGTCGGCATGGAGAGGGTCCTAGGAGAGGTCCGCACTCGCTGGCAGGACGGCTTCGCAGCCGCCATCAGCAGGATCGTGGACTGGTCCCCAGACTGGGAGCCCGTGCAGGAGCAGCTGATGAACGTGCCCTCGCACCCTATGTGCAAAGCCCTCGTCTGCAACCCACAGTTGCAGGACTTGGGGTCTCTGTGCACGGACCTTGACGCGCGGCTGCGGCTCGTGCGCAAGTTCCCCGGCCTGTGGTCCGACAACCTCGTGCGCCAGTGGGGCGTGAAGGTGCACCACGGGATGGTGACGTGCGCGTTGACGTACGTCATCTTCCACATGAAGTTTCTCTTCGGGAAGCTCAAGGGCCCGAAGAAATTGAAGGCTCCCCTGCCTACTCCCCCTACTCTTCTGCTTCGTAGCACGGTCGTATGAGGAGAAGGCGGCAGAGGAGGAGGAGGAGGAGGGCGAGTAGGAGGAGAGGGGTGGCGATGATGAGGAGGGGGGGGAGGAGGAGGAGGAGGAGGAGGAGGAGGAGGAGGAGGAGGAGGAGGAGGAGGGAGGAGGAGGAGGCGGAGGAGGAGGAGGAGGAGGAGGAGGGGAGGGGAGGAGGAAGGGAGGGGGGGAGGGGGGGGGAGGAGGAGGAGGAGGAGGCGGAGGCGGAGGGAGGCGGAGGAGTTCGAGGAGGAGGAGGTGGAGGAGGGGGAGGAGGAGGAGGACAGTGGCGGCCGCCAGGGCCGCCGCGGATGCCTTGATCGCCGACCTGGAAGGCAAGGCGCATGGGCGCCATGCCGCGGTGCGGCAGGCGGCACTCGGGACGGCGGGAAGATTCCTGACGAACGGACGCCGAGTGGAGACCGAGAAGGCGTCGACAAGGAGGCGGCCCGCAGCCCCCCCCGCCGACTTGATGGAGCAGCACGCCAGCAGCTGAGCAGCCGCAGCAGCAGCTGAGCAGCCGCAGCAGCAGCTGCACCAGCAGCGCCAGCCGCAGCAGCAGCAGCACCAGCAGCGCCAGCCGCAGCAGCAGCAGCCGCAGCAGCAGCTGGCCCAGCAGCGCCAGCCGCAGCAGCAGCAGCCGCAGCTGAGCGGCGGCTCAGGAGGAAGAGGAGGAGGAGGGAGAGCAGGCGGAGGGGGAGGAGGACCGAGAAGAGGAAGAGGAGGTGGAGGAGGTGGAGGAGGAGGAGGAGGAGGAGGAGGGGGAATTGGTAGGACGAGGAGGAGGAGGAGGAGGAAGAGGAGGAGGAGGAGGAGGGGGATGGGGGATGGGGGATAGGGAGGAGGAGGAGGCGGAGGACGAGGAAGAGGAGAAGGAAGAGGAGGAGGAGGAGGAGGATGAGCGAGCGGAGCAAGGGAATTAATGAATGGCCCACCCGGCGCTGCACCAGGCGCGGCAGCACCCCGACTCCGCCTCCTGATCCGCCTTGTCCTCCGCCTCCTGGTCCTCCGTCTCATCCTTCTGATCCTCCTCCTCCTCCTCCTCCTCCTCCTCCTCTTCCTCCTGATCCTCCTCCTCCTGATCATCCTTCCCCGCCGTCCTCTTCCTGATCCTCGACCTGATCAGCGTCCAGATCGTCTTCATAATACTCGTCTTCCTGCCCTCCCTCCTCGTCCTCCTCCTGGGGCTGCCCCGCCCTGGTCTGGCCGATGGGCGCTGCCGGGCGGGCAGGTTCGGCCTGGCCTGCAGGCCGCCCGCCCGCGCGCAGAGCGGGCTCGGCGACGCGCTAGGGAATGTATGCGGCCGTCGGGGGAAGATGCACATTGTCAGTGGAGACACAAGATTTGCAGCATATGTTTTTTGTATATAAAAAAATTGATTATTGCATTTTCTCATTGGGAAACATTTTTCCGTTTCGATTTTCCAGAAAATGCAAGCGTATTTACAGGTCAAGAACACTTTGCGAAGAACGGGGCCGCTCAAAAAATGTGGCCCGGGAATGGAGTTCTGGGAACTCGAAGAGCACGAAGTGGCCTACAGTTGGCTCCGGGCATTCAAGATGTGGCCCGGGAATGGAGTTCTGGGGACTCGAAGACCACGAAGTGGCTTACAGTTGGCTCCGGGCATCCAAAATGTGGCCCGGGAATGGAGTTTTGGGAAGTCGAAGAGCACGAAGTGGCTTACAGTTGGTTCCGGGCATTCAGAATATGGCCCGGGAATGGAGTTTTGGGAAGTCGAAGAGCACGAAGTGTGCGACTGTTGGCTTAAAACGACTTCTGCGGCACCCTGTCCGGCACCCGCCCAGACCCCCCTGTGGAGTCATCTGCTGCTCCCTTTTTGACACCACTAGAAACCTATCAGAACAAGCTGTTAGGTAAATTCAAAAGTAGTTGAATTATCCCGGCAAATCAACCTAACAGCGATGTGTAGATGCACATCTGAAAGCATTCCCCTTCAGATTCAGATGAAAAGCCAGTTGTAGAATTCTGCTGTTCTCGCAGTCGTAGTCGCATTCGCGATGACAGTCGCAGCGGCAACGGCAGTCGCAGTCACAGCCTCAACCTCAGCCTGCCTCAGCCTCAGCTTCAGCCTGCCTCAGCCTCAGCCTGCCTCAGCCTCAGCCTCAGCCTGCTTCAGCCTCAGCCTCAGTCTGCCTTCAGCCTCGGCCTCAGCCTCAGCCTGCCTCAGCCTCAGCCTGCATCAGCCTCAGCCTCAGCCTCAGCCTGCCTCAGCATCCCAGCCTGCATCAGCCTCAAGCCTCAGCCTGCCTTCAGCCTCTGCATTCAGTCTGCTCTTCAGCCTCAGCCTTCAGTTTGCCTGCAGCCTCGGCCTCAGCCTCAGCCTGCCTCAGCCTGCCTCAGCCTCAGGATCAGCCTGCCTCAGCATTCAAAATGTTGCCCGGGAGTGGAGTTCTGGGAACTCGAAGAACACGAAGTGGCCTACAGTTGGCTCCGGGCATTCAAAATGTGGACGGAATGGAGTTCTGGGAACTTGAAGAGCACGAAGTGGCTTACAGTTGGCTCCGGGCATTCAAAATGTGGCCGGGAAATGGAGTTCTGGGGACTCGAAGACCACGAAGTGGCCTACAGTTGGCTCCGGGCATTCAAAATGTGGCCCGGGAATGGAGTTCTGGGAAATCGAAGAGCACGAAGTGGCCTACAGTTGGCTCCGGGCATTCAGAATGTGGCCCGGGAGTGGAGTTCTGGGAAGTCGAAGAGCACGAAGTGTGTGACTGTTGGCTTAAAACGACTTCTGCTGGCACCCTGTCCGGTCACCCGCCCTGACCCCGGTGTGGAGTCATTTGCGGCTCCTTTGACCCCACTAGGAAAAACCTATCAGAAACAAGATGTTAGGTTAAAAAATTATCCCGGCAAAGCAACCTAACAGCGATGTGTAGAAGCATATCTGAAAGCATTCCCCTTAAGATTCAGATGAAAATCCAGTTGTAGAATTCTGCGGTTCTCGCAGTCGTAGTCGCATTCGCGATGACAGTCGCAGCGGCAACGGCAGTCGCAGTCACAGCCTCAGCCTCAGCCTGCCTCAGCCTCAGCCTCAGCCTGCCTCAGCCTCAGCCTGCCTCAGCCTCAGCCTCAGCCTGCTTCAGCCTCAGCCTCAGTCTGCCTTCTGCCTCGGCCTCAGCCTCAGCCTGCCTCAGCCTCAGCCTGCATCAGCCTCAGCCTCAGCCTCAGCCTGCCTCAGCATCAGCCTGCCTCAGCCTC